GCGGTTTAACCTCAAAATTACCGCGGTATAACCTCGGTCAAACCTTTAAATCACCGCGGTCACACCGCGGTCAAACTGAGGTTCAACCGAGGTTAAACCGCGGTTTTTGTTAGGTTAATTCTGAGCGGTACTGTATGACCAAGCAAAATATACAATGTGTTTTTAACAATATTAATGTGGGTGTATTTATATTACAAGGTTTGATCAGTATTCCGTGATTTTATTTTGTTGTTTTTGCGGTGAAATCGGGGAAACCCCCCAGTGCGAATCTATTTTTATAGTCTGCGCGTGCGCAATGCGAGTTTGGCTGAGTTGCGCATGCGTATTTGCTACCAAAATAATGGCGGTTCGAATATTTCGAAGCGCGAAAATATCAAACTTTGGAGGGATTTTTCTCCCAATTGTGCACCTGTTTCACTTGGGGAGCAACGGATTCTGATAAAGTAAGTTTTTATCTATTTATTCATGTGAAAATTACGTAGTTCCACGAGGGGTGCAACGGAATTGCATCTTTTGGATGCCCATCCCACGGCCTATTTGTGTGAAACAGATCGAATTACTACAACACGTGATATATTCTAAGCATGCTAATTGGTTGAAAATCTGGAACTTCCACTTGTCGCAAATTATATTCAGTAGAATTCAGCAGCAGAACATTCCACACGTTCAAATTACAGATTTAGGCCAGCAAATAAAAAATATAGATGACTCGCCGACAATTTCTGGCTACATTCGATCGCCGCGTGTGATTGAAGCCGATATACGGAATAACACATCAATGGCATCAACCTGACTTGTCAACATTCGAGTAACCAAAAACATAAAATTAAAAAAAGTCTTTATATCACGAACTTCGTGCTTTTCGCATCTGACTGGCAATACTTTAATAGAGTATAGCCTCCAGCAGAAAAACTCTTGGATTCTCAGGCACATTAATTATATATTGTAATAATTTACTCCAGATCCAAAACAATTTTACTCCTTTTTGGGAGTTGAAACGACCCCTGGAGTAAAATTAAGGAGCACAAATTACTCCATAATTTCTACTCCTAAACGAGAGTTTAGTTTACTCCTCCAGCGGAGTAAAATTGACTCCTGATGGAGTAAATTGTGGAATGCGCGCCGAAGTGGAGTAGTTTTAACTCTATTTTGGGAGTAGATTTTCTCCACTATTTTTACTCTCCCGAGTTGAGTAGTTTTAACTCCTATGGTGGATTTAAAATAACTCCTTGAAATTAACAGTGTGTCTAAAATCATCACAGTTTTCTCGTCTCATACGAGGTCTACGGAGCCATGCGGCATTGAATACATGGAGATGGACGAAGAGAGTTCTTTGCCATTTTATGAAGGCAATGGAGCCTATAGTTCGGGTTTTGAAGACGATTTTGAGCAAACTCTTGCTAATGCTTGATATGGACTTCGAGGTGGTGATGATCGAGGTTCAAAATTCTCATGAAGAGGTGAGTTAAATATCAAAATAACTTATAAAAGTAAGTATACCTCAACCTCGTTCCCAGGGCTTCAGTGTGAGGACGAGGCGAGACACGAGGAAGCACTGGTCCGGGCCGGTCACGTGACGTCAAAAAATGGCAGTATTTGACAGCTACTCGTCAAGGAGTGGCGAGATATTCTTTAATGAAATATACAAGTCTTCGAAACAAATGAATAGCCAAAAGACTTCTCAATCGATATTATTTATGTGTAGAGCGAAGTTTGACACGAATCAGCTAAAATCTATGAAGATCCCGTCTATGTTTTCTAAGATATACCGATATTTCTGGAGATTTTCAACTACAGGCAAAGCTCTGCATTCAAGCTGCATCTAGGCGTCTCCATGCAAGTGGTGATTCACACGAAATTTCCTTTCTCTCGTCTTGAACAATATGGCTATTGCTATAATTAATATTTAGTTTAAATATGCTCTTATAGATCTGACTTAGTTCAATATATTAAATAAACACAAATATAAAACCTTGCGTAACCTGTTTACGCTGTACAGGAATATACGGTTCGCTTGTTTCGCCGGACCCCAACACTTGCCGTTCAGGAGCAATGCTTGCCTACAAATTTTATCCCCTTCACAATCTTTGTTTTATTTTATCGTATAGTCTCAATTTTCAAGTATTCGGCGTATTCTGAAACTGAAAAACTGGGTGGCGTGCGAATCTTGTAGACTACATCGGCCTAGGCGTATATTAAGTAAACAGGGCCTAAATTAATTTAGTAGTTTCATTTAATTGTTTGTCTTGCTTTTATTTGTCAGTACAGAATATTGTAAATTAAAATATTACTACAATGCAATACGCGTAGTATTTCATCAGACATCTGCACTAATAAATACTGTACAAGGAAAACTTAAATAATAGTAGACATGCATTTCTTGTTTTGTCAGGAAACATCACAGCTCACTTCGACACGGCTTTTGAGTTTTGTAACCGGCCGAGGCGAAAGTAAATCGTGCAGTCGGGAAAACGTCTTACTTTGAAAGATTATTTTGCAAAGCATACTCGTACACACAAGAATCATAAAAATACAAATGTTGAATTGTATTGTAATTTGTTATTGTCAACCGTCAAGTTCAGTTATTTTTAGACGATATGGTGTTAGCCAATCAGAATGCAAAAGTGACCGGCCCGGACCAGGGCTTCCTCGTGTCTCGCCTCGTCCTCACACTGAAGCCCTGGGAACGAGGTTGAGTATACCTATAATTTAACTTGAATCTAGGTTGAAGTAAATAAGTAACCTCACCTATAATTTAACTTGAATCTAGGTTGAAGTAAATAAGCAATTCCCTTGTGACTTTTGTGAGAAAAGTTGCAAGTCTTTGGTGGTCTAACAAAACGTCAACATCCTTCTGAAGCTTTATATTATAAATTAAAAGAAAGAAGAGCAAAGAAAACTTTCTAAAGGAGTTTTATGCCAATACAAATGCCCATTGGCAACAATATTTTCATCCTTATCCTGACAAGAAGATGTTTTTTATCCTAATTCATCTCCCAGAGCGTTTGTTGACATGTATTGAGCAACCATCTGACTCTGAGGTAATTGTTTTCTGAGTTTCTGACATAGTTATATTTATCAGTTTGACCTAGCTAGCTAGATGGTGTATGTCTGGAGGTAGTGTATTTCAATAAGGTCTATAAATTGTATAATATATAATACTGGTCAAACCTATATAAAGTTCCCTCAAATTATTTAATAATTTTAAAATACAACTACCCTGTACCCACAACCATCTTGGTTTCCAAAAGGTAATGGACCAGGGTAATACCCCTGGGTAGAAAATATAGTGGCTCAATTTAACCAGTGTATTAGCATTTATTGTGTTTTTATTAACTTATTTTAGGAAGAAGTTTCTGTATCATCGCAAGAGCTTGGCCATTGACCTATTTGATATTTGGCTGGTTATGTCATGAACTCATGATAAGATCTTTGTATCGAAAAAGCAAAAATTGTTCCAGGTGGCACTACCAGAAAAACAAAGAAATTCAAGCCTTGATGTATTCAATGCGAACTGCAACTGAGGACAATGAGTGCATTTAATCATTGTGGTGGCCTTTGGTCACCTCATTTATGGCTTAATTGTAAGTGTAATGGAAGTCAGTGAGTTAGTTTTTAGTAAGCACATGAATAAAGACAAGTTCACTTGTCTCCTAGTAGACAAAATAGTGAATGAAGTTTTGGCTTCTTCCCTTGTGAAAAGCTTGTGGTGCAATATTATTGCAAATTATGATACGGAAATCTCTAAAGAATGTCAGTTCCTGTGTTTAGAAAATATTGTAAAGTTATATGTTACTGTTAGATGTTTTCATTTGCCAAAAGATACTTTAAATAATGTGTGACTAGTGAAGTGATGTTATTAATCAATATTAAATGTATTCCTTGAACCCTTTTGCCACCAAAGAAGTACATTAGTTTATTTAAGGTCACATCTTTGAAATGTTATTGCATTTGACCAAATGTCCAGCTTAAATATAATCTAGGGTATTGAAAAACCATAACCAGTCACTGTCACACATGGTATGTGACACATTTGAAGTGCATGATCACATGATCTACTGAAATCTGGCAGGTTTCTAATTAGCAATCCAACCTGAGGTTTATAAATATTTGATGTTTGGATGATTTATAGTTTAATTAATTAATTTTATGAGATGTATTTTGTATGATTGTCGTAAGTAAAGGAGTCCAATATAGTTAATTAAAAATCTGCTAAATTTTATGAGATTTTAGCACGTCATGTGACAAGCATCTACCAGGGTCTTTTCTCCCCAAAAGAAAAGATCCTGGATACAAGGTTGGTCGAGACATTGTTACTAAAATATTTATTGCAACTGAATGCTAAATGTAAATATTTTTTAGTAGGTTTTAATTGCAAATATTTATATAGTGATGAAAAAATATGTACACTAATTAACTACTACATTTCAGTTTAATTAGTTGAAGGGTATTATTATGGAGTAAATCTAGCATTACTTGAAAGAGATACACTTAAATACTGATTGGATAGGAATGAGTATTTAACAATCCTTGTGAAGTGCTACATCACCTTTCACTGTGGTCAGCTTATAAGCAATCCTCCCCAAGCTAACTGATTCAGGGACAAATATTGCTGTTTAGCCAATCATAATGAAGCGTAATCTTACTAATATACTGAAGCACTTCATGGGAGTGGTGATAGACCTTAAAAGTGCTTATATCAAACAATTTTGAATCAATATAAACATTAGGTATATTTTGTCCTGCATGTTTCCCACATTGCATTGCAATTTATTGTTTAGAACTGATATGACTTACTTAACCCATTTAGTAACATTGTGGCCTGATGGGCCCTTCTTTACTCTGTCTAATGCCAGACTATTTTACTCTGTTTAACACCGGACATTTTATTTGTCAAGGGTAGAGTGTTGGTGTTTAATTAATGGGTTAAGCACTTCTAAGGTACCGGTACTGTTAATTTTGAAAATTCTTAACAAGGTAAACTATTAGATCATTTTTGTGGCATGAAGTACATATTGGTGTCAGCACTAAATTGCTTCGAAGTTATATCATGCATAGCTAGATCAAGCAAAAATATAATGAGCTTTAGCTCATTTGTTTTAACAGCATGGAAATTCTCTAAATTTAACCCTTTAAGTGGCAATGTACCCAGATGCACCCTACTTTATTATTTTACTCTGTCTATTACAGTAATGCCAGATGATTTTACTCGTAGCACTGTGCACAATACAATAGTACCTTCATAAGAAATGTTCAATATGTTCTCGCAAAATGATCAATATTTTGCATTACTTGTACTATTGTTCTCATAACATGTTCAAGATCACTATTTCTTGATTGTTTTTTTGTTCTTCTCTTTGGGCAATGACTCCTCACTGACATTACACATTTACACCACTTGCTTCGCTTTAATACCAGAATGCCGTCCTGAATTGGAACATTTCCTTGAATGGATTGTCAGCTGCTGTTGGGTTTTACAGTAAAATATCATTCCTTCTCCCTTGTGCTCGCTGGTATTAAACCGAAATACTCTTAAACATCATCCTGGCAGAACCGTTCTGTGAGCACAAACTCAAATCCTTCGCTCAACAAAAACCTTGTCAGGGCAACAACTGAATTTACAGTCTCTTTAATTGATAGTCCAGTAAAGGTTTGGGCAATCTTATTACTGCCTGGTTTTGCCTGGCAGATATATTAAAGTTGTTCTCACGTTATTGCCTCTTTCGCACAGTTTTAACTCATTGCTTACGAAAAAAATAAGAATACACGTACGACAATCAATGTATTTCAATCTTGGGATGTTTCTCAAAAACATGCAGCTCGCCTTTAATATCGATCTGGCGACGTAAACTTTTGTCCATATGTCGATTCTTTGTAATTATGTTTCCTAACCCAAGCCTCTCGAGCTCTAGTTGATAATTCGTCTTTGCCAGACGGATTTCGAAAGATTCCGAGCCCAACATGCTTTCTGCTTGTTCCACAACCAAATATTGAGCAATTGGCTCGAGACATTGTAAAAAAAATCGCCAAACCAACAGCTTTTTTCGCTTCGCATGTCATGGTATAAATTCGACACTCATTGTATAGAATTACTATGGCCATTGTTTACGATCTTGCACGCATGCACTATATATTCCACGTGACCGAAAATCCAACATATTTCGTCACGTGACCCAGCCTCCAAACCCGGTCTTCTATATTAACTATGCCGAAACGCATTTAGACTCTACCATAGCTGATTCTGAAATTTTCCCCTCAAATTTCTCAGTGCTCAGACGTGATCGAAATCGTCATGGAGGCGGTGTTTTGATAGCAGCGAAAAGTTCATACAAAATCGTACACCGTGACGACATTAAATCCAACGCTGAGATCCTGATCGTAGAAATCATACTTAAACACAACCAAAAAATTACTTTAGTCGTCTTTTATAGACCACCAAATAGTGATCTATATCCTTTAGAAGAACTACAAAGAATTCTTAGCGAAGTTTCGAGATCAGAATTGATAATTGTAGGCGATTTTAACATCACTGAGATAGATTGGTCTAATGCAAGTACATCAACAACCTGCATTGTCCACGACAATGTCGACGTTGTCCATCGACATTGTCCACGACAACTTTCTTTTTTCACGACAATTTTCTTTGATTTAATTGTCACTATGAGGATGAGAAACGAATTTAAGCGTGGCAATTGGCCATTGTCATACATCGTTTAATTTCACCGCTGTCTTTGGCGAATAGTGATAAACATATAAAGTTATATAGCTTATGTGTGGTTAGTCCGATCGCCGTAAAATATGTTTTGAGTGATAGGTTGGTGATATTTCATGGTGTACAAAAGGATTAAGGACGTGAATGCCATGAACAATGAAGGAAATAAATCGAGTTCATCGAACCTTCTGTGAATCTGTGATCAATTATTCAATACAGTGTAATTCAACATGGCATATTGGCCTAGAATCGTTTAATATAAAATAATATTGCGATATGAAAGAAATTGCTGGACCTACTTCTTCTTCAAAAATGAATTTTAGATATAATATATTGACTTGAACCTATTAAAATCCTTTGGCTGTGACTTTACAAATTTGGTATCACAAGTGACAAGGCCTCCCATGACATTATCATGACTGTTCATTGATATTGGAAAAATAGTTTAAAGATCAATGCTTGGATGAATCAGGGAACTTCATTTACAAAACAGACAATAAAAGACCTGATTTATCTTAACGACAGTTTAAATTATAAATCTGTGAGATTCTAATATACATTCTAGTTTTTAAGATACATATTAACAGTTTACTCTACAATGAGGGGAAAATAATCTGATATTGAGAATTTTCTCTGTTACTCAAGTTTATGTTACATTTAGCACCAAGTATATTATTGTTGCTATCACCTTAGGGGCTGTTTACATGAGCCCGGCTAGCCATGCAGGCTGGCCCGGTTAACCAGGCTGAAGGCCTGGCTAGCCAGGAGGTTGCCTGAGCTGGTGACTTTACATGGAGACATTTCAGCCCGGTTAACCTGGCATTTCCTTTGACTCAAGTGAGATCTCGGCTAGGCAGATTCTTGTTAAATGATTTGTATTAAGCTGGGTGCCTCGTTTAACAGGACTAGTCGGGCTCATGTAAATAGCCCCTTAGTTATTAAGACTTGTTGGCAGAGTAAAATATATCAGGCAATAAAACTGGTTTCAATTTGCAACAAATCGGATGTTGGTGCATGTAAGTTGTTATTAAGACTTGTTGGCAGAGTAAAATATATCAAGCAATAAAACTGGTTTCAACTTGCAACAAATCGGATGTTGGTGCATGTAAGTTGTAGTGTTGTTTTTACAAAGGGAACCAAGTAAATGAAACTTTAACATCTAGTGTATTCTACTATGTACAAGTTGTACAACCCCATAAATGTAAACAACACTTTGATTTGATTTTAGTTCCATAAATCCATATTTTTTATCCATATTATCAATCCATATTTAATTTGATTTTAGTTCCATAAATCCATAATTTAGTTCCATAAATTTGAGTTTAGATCCATAAATCTATTAAGATCTGCAACTGTCCTACATGCACAAATGCCATCCAATGTAATGACCTAGATGATAACAGGAAGCAGTTTTGTTTCATTAAGGCCTTTGATCAAACAGAAAACACATTTGAAGGTCTTCATGTTCCAACAAATTGCTTTCTGGACTACATCATGAAAGATACAAAAATTGTTTTTGAGGTTGTGCATTTACTACAGCTTGAAATTTGCCAATCGTGAACTTTCCAACACTAAAAAGAAGAACAGAAAATATTTGAAGGTGGCACATCTTTAACCATGTGCACTGGACAATATGCTGTGTTGCCAAAACATTTTACTTAACAGTAACTTCTACAAGCTATATTGCTTAAAATCTTTTACACCAAAGTACGTAAGAACTGATCATGAGCTGTAAGATACAAGGCTGGTGTTAAATCCAATGTTGATGGTAATCATACACAGGAGAAATTGCTAACTAAAGATTTTGCTACACTGAGTAAATCTATACCAGGCAAGCTGAAAAATCAACTTGACATGCACAGTAAGAATGCAACCCACAACCTCTGGTTTACAAGACCTGACTGAGCTACACAGTTTGAATGTGCAATATTTTATTATTTTGGAGCTTAATTAGTTTTGCTCCTTCAATATTCTTATCTCTACGATGGTAAACCTAACAATGCGGATGGTAATTGAAAACAGGTGAAATCGTTAATTAAGATGGTGCTTTGCTGAGTAAATCTAAATGCGATTGGTGTGTTGCAATTTTGGGTCATGAACTGTAACTTCTGGAAAGTTTAATAGTCTGCTCTACCATCAACTGCTGGATACAAATGTGATATATATATTTTCAAGATGGCGGCCATAAACATGTTTGTATGTGCCATGTTGATATAAATCAATTTTGCGCCTTTCAGTCAATGTTTTTGTTTATTTTTTTCGACATTTTATGTTTATAACATGAATCTTAATACTGAGAATGCACTTATAAAGACGTCTGAGCAAGACGAGGATGAGTCCGAACTGACAAATATGGATACCGAACAAGAAGTTATAGCCGAAAACCCCGAAGAGAAAGATGTTTACGAGTTTTTCGTCAACAAATCCCGTTTTGACTGGTGGATTAAAGCGTTTATGATACGGTATTGGATGGATTTTGGGAAACGCGAAGAGTATAGAGTAAATTGGGTGAGGAAAACAAGTCCAGATGATGAAAATTCAGACGATATTGTCGAAATTATTATCGAAATTTTCAGTTTACACGATAATGGTAGTGAAGGTCATTTATTTTCAATAACTATTTCCGTACCAGAACAGAAACTTATTATTCAAGGAAACCACAGCAGTTTATGGAAAAACACTGAGTTTTCACGCCTCAGAGATCTTGTTAATAAATTTAAAAATTATGACACTGGATTAGACACTGGGGCTATTAGTTCTGAATACTACACCATTTTCCATGAAGACGGGATGAACAAGTCAATTAGCTTACCTACTGACCTTAGTGAATTGTCATGGGACCAATCATTACTATCTATTCACGAAATTGTGAAGGAGGATATCAATGTCGTAAATCAACCAATAAAGGCTGGTACAAAAGGGTCTGGTAAGGCACGTCACCCCCCGAAGAGAGCAGGTCTAACCACACCTGTAAGTTCAAAAAAAGTAAAAAGCCGTTCACCAAAATCGAAGTCCAAGCAAAAACTTACAGAAAAATTACTTGCAGAATCTATTCAGGTCTGCATCAAGCAGATATCCAATCTCGAGGAAGTTGTTGCTAGGGTTGATAAAAGTGATGTGGATTTAGATTATAAAGTTAATTCACTCAGTGATAGTCTTTTCTCAAGGCTAGATGACGCATTAGCTAACCGACTGAAGCATGAAATGTCAGTGCTCAGGAAAGCTTACGATAGCAAAATAATGGAATCTGAGGAGCGTGTGGAGAAGGCTGAAGCAGAAGTTAAAAAATTTCAGGGTCGGCTTGGTTCTTTAATTGAGGAAAAGAACAGTTTATCAAAAAAAGTTAGATATCTAGAAGAGTCAAATAAACTGTTGCAGGACCATGTTGATTCTATACGACACAAGGTGAATCAGGTTCCACCTGTTCAAATAGTCGATGTCACGAAAGACCAAGATACAGTGGAGGTTACTAGGGAAGAAATGGAACAACAAAATGTAGTAGATGAAGTTGCATCAGAATCAGATGAAGTCGCTCCAGAATCAGATGAAGAATCTAGTCATATTGTTGTCAATGAAGTAGTGAATATAAATCACGTAGTCACTCCACAACAGGTAGATAATAATAAGGGAACAATTCCCACAAACCAAAATGATCAAGACAGAGAAGTAACCAGCGAACAGTTTGATTTCGTTTTTCTCTGTGATTCGAATAGAAAGTTTATTAATACAAATCTATTATGCCCTAAAAGTACGGTGAAAGTGATTCCCTGTGGAACAACAGATAAAGCGATAAATATCTTGTCATCACCACGTTTTAAAGTTAATAAGGGACTGATCATTAACACAGGTGTTAACGATCTAGAACACTCTACTGCAAAAGATGTTATCAGTAAACAACTTCAGATGATCAATCTAGCTGTGAATGCTTTTCCAGGGAAAAAGATAATCTTATCTAGTATTACACCCCGAGATGATAAATTGGACAAAGATGTTGAAGTTGTTAACAAAGAAGTACACTGTCAAATAGCAAACAACCCAAATGTCATATATGTCGATAACTGTAACTTAAGGGAAGTAAAATATTATTACGATCACAAACACCTCAATAGGAAAAATGGCATTCCTGCGTTCGCAACCAACCTCAAAAAAGGGATTAGATTGGCATGTGGGATTAAACTAAAGGAGCGTCGATCACAAGTTCGTTTTAACAACCCACGTTATGTCACTAACTTACCTGATGCCATCAATTCCCCCAGCCCACGACGAGAAGAAGTACCACAACCACCAGAAGAAAAGAATATTGTTCACGTAAACGAAAAGATTCAGGAAAGTGGAATCAACACCATCAATACTCAGTTGAGTTGTTTAACTAAATTAGTTAATATTCTGATATCTAACAGTGTACAACAATCTAAAGTAATGTATTCACAGCCAACTCCCGCGCAAGCCTTTCCGTTTTATAACCCGGTTGCCTTTCAGCAGCAGGTAGTCTAGTGCAGTTTAGTGAGTGTACAGAAAGTATTGTAGTGAGTGTGTAGAAATTATTCTGGGATGGTTGTTATTAATTTATTTTAATTTTATTTTAATTTTGACTGATTAGGCCAATTTTTACTTCATGGAGGTCCAAAAGTTTTTAAAATTTTGTTCTTGGAACATTGAGGGTCTTTCTGGAAAGTTACATGATGAAGATTTCTTGTCTATAATTAATTCGTTTGATTGTATTTCACTAGTCGAAAGTTGGTTAAGCGATGCTAGTGTCGTGAATTTACCAGGTTTTTATTCTTTTTCAAAATTGAGGCAAAAATCTGAAAGAGCTAATAGGAATTCAGGCGGTATTACCGTGTTGATAAAATCCGAGCTAAGAAAAGGGGTTAAGTTTTTGGAAAAGGAAAGTAGTGAGGAGTTTGTATGGTGGAAATTGGAGAAAGATTTTTTTCATACGAAGCAAGATTTGTATGTTTGCAGTGTATATATTCCTCCACAGAACTCTCCTAGAGAACAGAGATTAGACTGTGACCATTTTGAGTTATTACAAGAAAATATTTATAAGTTTTCAAAATCAGGAAACATTATTTTATGTGGGGATTTCAATGCCAGATTAGGTACTTTAGACGACTATGTGCATGAAATGGAAGGGGTAACCTTTCCAACGACAGTTCTTACTGGCTCAATTGAACCACGTAAGTCAAGGGACATTCATATTAATACGTATGGAAAATCATTAGCTGAGTTATGTTGTGGGAATGAGTTAATTATTTTAAACGGCAGGACGAAAGGAGATTATATAGGTCAGTTTACCTGTCACACATATAATGGGGCTAGTGTGGTCGACTATACTGTGGTATCGTCAGAGATTTTGCAATCAATCAAGCATTTTACTGTGTCAAGTATCACAGAATTCTCGCATCATTGCTTCCTTTCTTTTGCATTAGAAGCGGAGCCTCGACTGGGAGTAGATAAAGGAGAAACTTTACAATTGCTCCCACTGCCTGCATCATTTGTTTGGAATGACAACTTAAAAGATACCCTTCGTGAAAATTTTATTAATAGCAATGTTTCAAGTGAGATGAATACTTTATTTGAATCGTTAAATGAGACTGATTCGGTAGTGAGCAAGTTTACCGACGTTATAGTTAATGTTTCGAGAAATGTCGTAAAAATTAGAAATAGGCAAACACCAAAAAAGAAACGAAAACGCACAATCCAAAAACAGAGATGGTTTAACACGAGTTGTTACCTATTAAAGAAGGAATTAAAAAAATTGGGTAGTTTACTCTCAAAATACCCCAATGATCCTTTTTTAAGACATAAGTTTTTTGCTACTAAAAAAGATTATAAGCGACTTACTAAACGGCTTAAACGAAATTTCCAAAGCGAATTGTTAAACAAGATTGAACTAATGGAGGAAAATCATCCGAAGGAGTTTTGGAAATTGGTAAATTCGATAAAAGCAAGTAACTCGTCAGATTCGTCAGACGATATATCACCAGTAGTGTGGTATAACTATTTCAAAGATTTAAATGAAGTTAAGGTAGATTCTACACAATGTAGCAACGAGGCTAAATTTGTCAAAAATTACCAGCTATGGACTGTTAACTCAAATGAGATATTGGATGCACCAATTTCAGTAGAAGAAATTCGTTCATCAGCTAAAAAACTTAAAGGCAAAAAGGCCAGTGCTAGGGACTCAATTAATAATGAAATAATTAAGATTGCTGTGGAGGTTTTCGCTCCATATTTTGTGAAGCTATTTAACTTAATCCTATCAAGTGGGGTGTTTCCTCGGCCATGGTCCGAAAGTTATATAGTACCCATTTATAAGGCAGGTAGCCGTTTAGATCCCGGAAATTACAGGGGAATATGTATAAGCAGTTGCTTAGGTAAATTCTTTACTCTAATTCTGAATTCCCGTCTTAACACTTTTTTGGAGGGAAACAAGATTTTAAATAAATGTCAAATTGGGTTCAGATATGGGTTTAGAACGTCTGATCACATACTTGTACTAAAAACATTAATTGATTTATACAAGAGCCATAAAAGGCCGCTATTTGCATGCTTCATAGACTTTCTGAAGGCTTATGATAGTGTATGGAGAGAAGGTTTATTCTATAAACTCATTCAATACGGTTGTAGCAGAAATTTTATTCGTGTTTTACTCAGCATGTATTCTTCTGTTAGGGCTGCAATCAAACTTAATGCAGGAGTTACTCCTTCCTTTGCATCTAATATTGGACTTAAACAGGGGTGCAATCTTAGTCCAACTCTGTTCAATGTTTTCATAAACGATATTCCTGAATTGTTTATCTCCAAAGATTGTGATCGGGTATATCTGGGAGAAACGAAAGTAGGCTAAATTGTTTACTTTATGCCGATGACCTAGTACTTTTATCACAGTCTGAGTCTGGTCTACAGGAGAGTCTCGCTAAGTTGGAATGTTATGTTAAAAGATGGAAATTGAAAATTAAGAGCGACTGTCTACAAAAATAAAACAAAATGAGAAATATGTGGCAAGGCTCAAAATTTTAAATTCGCTCTACGTTTGAATATAAGTTGACTATGGTGAAGTGAGAAACGTTATGTGGTTAGTTTTTAAAAATACTCTTTTGTTTATGAAAAAAGACAAAAAAATGTTTCGGCTGTGAGGACCGATTTTCGCAATCGAAAAATGGCCGAAATTGCGTATGTTTACTTAATCCTGGTATCCAAACCCTAAATCCAAATAGCCTTATTATACTTTCTGCTAAAGATACATCACTCCCTCGTTTATTAAAAGTGGTTTTATGATAACTGAACAACTGAACACATTTGTGCACAATAAAGAGCGACGGGTACTGATCTTTATTGTTTGTCATTGCATGTAAAAAGTGACAGATTTCTCCATTTGCCATCCTTTCAAATCTTATGAGATTTTGCACAAGCACTATTGGAAAACTGCTCTTTTCAGAAATGTATAATTTATTTTGGGCAAATAAATTTACGCGCTACGAGAAAGAGTTAACTTTGGTTCATTAAATATGCAAAAATCACTGTTTGGCGATTGCGTGACTAAAAACCCCTTGAAATAAACTGGCTTAAAACATCATTGTTCTTCGCCATTAGTTCAGAGAATTTGAAGAAAACATAAATATGCATACCTTGAATGGAAAAATTTTCTTTGAGCTGTTCCACTTTTGGAGCTTATACCAGGAATTTAATATTGTCGACCGTTCGCTTGTTTACATCTCCGCCTTATACATCTACTCAAAGTTCTTGGAATACAATCTATCAGAAATCAGCTAACAATTCACACAACTTCCATTCGTGTTCCATTTACAATTATTAATATTCTTAGAAACAAAGAGTCAAAATTAATGTTGCAGAAATTCTATTTTATTTTTATACTGACATATCGAAAAAGCTAAATGTTTACATTATAGGTGGCGGGCTTCCTGTCGATTTGGCGGAAGTAATGCCACTGCGATGTATTACTGTAATGTTGTCATTTCTTTTTTAATATTTTTTTCTATTAAGTGGATTATTGCGAATTGAGTTTTTTTTATTGCTGTAATTTACTTTTATTTACAATTATTAATATTCTTAGAAACAAACAGTCAAAGTTAATATTACAGAAATTCTATTTTATTTTTGTACTGACATATTGAAAAAGCTATTTGTCACCAAATGTTTACATTATAGGTGGCGGGCTTCCTGTCGATTTGGCGAAAGTAATGCCACTGTGATGCATTACTTGTATTTTTAATATTGTTTTTATGTGGATTATTGTCGAAAAAATGCGATCCGCACGCCGCTATGCTATTGTTATCATTATTAATTAATTAATATCCGTCACGAGCACACCATAACAGTTAAACTTCCATGAAAAGTCAGCATATTAGTATTTGAACTGACGACTGATCAGAGTGGTTTCGAAGGAAATGGCACTCTCTAGACGCTGCTATTTTGGTCCAATAGTGGCCACGGATTGGCACAGATTATTCATTTGATCGCAGAGATATCAATACTGCAGTAGCATTGCTTCAGCCAAATCGACAGGAAGCCCGCATCATCTAATTATAAATGTAAATACTTTTTGAATAAAATATAATGAATAAAATATAATGTCTGCAATATTAATCTTGACTCTTTTCTGCATGGCTTATTTTTTTATTTTATTGGCTTAACTATAACAATTGTAAATGGAATACGAATGGAAGTTGTGTAAATTGTTAGCTGATTTCTGTTAGCTGGACTCCTTGAACTTTGAGTTTAATATGTAGTTAAGTTAGGGATAACTCCAAAAGTGGAACAGCTCAAAGGAACTTTTTGCATTCAAGGTATGTATATTTATGTTTTTTTCAAATTCTCTAAACTAAAGGTGAAGAACAATGATGTTTTAAGTGAGTTTATTGCAAGGGGTTTTTAGTCACGCAATCACCAAACAGTGATTTTGCATATTTAATGAACCAAAGTTAACTCTTTCTCAAAGCGTGTGAATTTATTTGCCCAAAATAAATAATACATTTCTGAAAAGGGCAGTTTCCCAATAGTGCTTGTGCAAAATCCCATAAGATTTGAAAGGATGGCAAATGGAGAAATCTGCCACTTTTTACACGCAATGACAAACATTAAAAATCAGTACCCGTCGCTCTTTATTGTGCACAAATGTGTTCAGTTGTTCAATTATCATAAAACCACTATTAATAAACGAGGGAGTGATGTATCTTTAGCAGAAAGTATAATAAGGCTATTAGTGGATTTAGGGTTTCGATACCAGGATTAAGTAAACATACGCAATTTCGGCCATTTTTCGATTGCGAAAATCGGTCCTCACAGCTGAAACATTTTTTGCCTTTTTTCATAAACAAAAGAGTATTTTTAAAAACTAACCACATAACGTTTCTCACTTCACCATAGTCAAAAGTAGAGTGAATTTTAAATTTTGAGCCTTGCCACATATTTCTCGTTTTGTTTGATTTTTGTAGACAGTCGCTCTTAAC